GCTAATTTTTTGTATTTTTAGTAGAGACGGGGTTTCACCGTGTTAACCAGGATGGTCTCAATCTCCTGACCTTGTGATCCGCCCGCCTCAGCCTCCCAAAGTGCTGGGATTACAGGCGTGAGCCACTGCGCCCGGCCTTTTTTTTTGTTTTGAGACAGAATCTCCCTCTGTTGTCCAGGCTGGAGTGCAATGACACGATCTTGGCTCACTATAACCTCTGCCTCCTGGGTTCAAGTGATTTTCATGCCTCTGCCTTCTGAGTAGCTGGAATTACAGGTGCGCGCCACCACACCTAGGTAATTTTTATAATTTTAGTGGAGACAAGTTTTCGCCATGTTGCCCAGGCTGGTCTCAAACTCTTGGCCTGACGTGATTTGACCACCTCGGCCTCCCAGAGGGCTGGGATTATAGGCGTGAGCCACCGCGCCCGGCCTCTGGAATTACTTTTTACATCAGAACTAGTCCATAGAAACAGCATCCTGGCCGCACAGCCACTCCCCTTGAGTTTGTGGCGAGATGGCAGCTCTTGGGAAGATGGGGTGGTGCCTGGTCCTCCCTCCATCCCCTTGGGGGGTTGTAGCCGGAGGTCCCCATGCCTGTGACCACTCACTGCTCACTGGTCTGCATCAGCTCTATGAGGTCAGAGAAGAGAACGTCTCGGTTCCTCTCGCAGAAGCCGCTGACGTCGTAGGAGACCTGGAGGGGACAGGACAGCGCTGAGAACAGTGAGGGACTGAGAGACCTGGCTGGGAGGGTGGGCGCAGAGTGCTTACAGCCCAGGTGGTCAGGGGTTTCCTGGGGCCTGCTGTGGGGTGAGGGGATCGAGGAGTGTCTACAGCGCTGGTTGGGGGGGTATCTACAGTTCAGAATAGGGGATGGGGGTGGGCTCCCTGGAGGGCTGATACTCAAGTTGAGGTTAGAGGATCGTAGCTGTATCCCAGGTCAGAGGTAAGGGGAGGTGGGGGTTACAACCTAGATGAGCCGGGAGAGAGCTGCAGTTTGCATCAGAGGCTGGGTGGCGGTGAAAGTTATAGCTCAGATTGGTGGGTGGGGGGTCCCTGGGAGTCAGAGGTTAGATTAGGTATCTGTGACCTGCTCAGTCAGGGGCCAGTGTGGGGGGCCTGTGTCAGGATGATAACAGCCCTACCTCAGGGATCCCTGCGAGGGGACTTCAGCCAGGATTGGGGGCTGGAGCTGCTACCAAAGGTTGGTTGGGGCTCTCTGTGGTTCCCAGCAGGGCTTTTGTAACCAGGCTGGCGTGCTGTGGCACAGTCTTGGTTCACTGCAACCTCAGCCTCCTGGGTTCAAGTGATTCCCCTGCCTCAGCCTCCCAAGTAGCTGGGATTACAGGCGCCCACCACCACGCCTAGCTGATTTTTGTATTTTTAGTAGAGATGGGGTTTCACCGTGTTCGCCAGGATGGTCTTGATCTCCTGACCTCGTGACCCACCCGCCTCGGCCTCCCAAATTGCTGGGATTATAAGTGTGAGCCACCACGCCTGGCGGTTGTTTTTTTAATTTGTTTTTTGAGACAGGGCTTCGCCTTGTCCTCCAGGTTGGGGGGCATTGGTGTCATCATAGTCACTGCAGCCTGGAACTCCTGGGCTCAAGCCAATGTGTGAATGTATTGAATGCCACTGAATTGTACATTTCATTTCATTTTATTTTATTTTATATTTTATTTTATTTTATTTATTTATTTCCTTTATTTTTCTTTGCCACAAAAAGGGAACAACATGGATAAATTGTACATTTTAAAATGGTTAATAAGTCTGGGCGCGGTGGCTCACGCCTGTAATCCCAGCACTTTGGGAGGCTGAGGCAGGTGGATCACCTGAAGTCAGGAGTTCGAGACCAGCCTAATCAACATGGTGAAACCCCATCTCTACTAAAAATACAAAAATTAGCCGGGCATGATGGTGGGACGCCTATAATCCCAGCTACTCGGGAGGCTGAGGCAGGAGAATCGCTTGAACCCAGGAGGCGGAGGTTGCAGTGAGCCGAGATAGTGCCACTGTACTCCAGCCTGGGCGATAGGGCAAGAGACACTGTCTCAAAAAAAAAAAAAAAAAAGACTATGGTGATGGTTGCACAGTTCTGGGAATTTGCTAAACGTCATTGATTTAGACATTGCTTAATGTGGGTGGATTTAATGGTAAGTCCGCTCCCGGGAAATGTGGGTGCATTCTGGTTTAAAGGTCAGGTTAGATTCAAATAGTTCTAAATCTGTTTGTTCAGATTCTGATAGTTCAGAATCAGATGCAGATTCTGATTCTCCAGGTCTGGGGTGGAGTTTGAGATTCTGCCTTTTTTTCTCCCTCAGAGATAAGGTCTGTTGCCAAGGCTGGAGTGCAGTGGCACAGTCACGGCTCACTGCAGCCTCCACCTCCTAGGCTCAAGTGATCCTTCCATCTCAGCCTCCTGAGTAGCTGGGACTATAGGCATGTGCCACCACACCCAGCTAATTAATTTATTATTTATTTATTTTTTTTTACTGGCAGAGTACACAAGTAAAAAAACGATTTTTTTTTTTTTTTTAGAGACAGGGGTCTTGCTACATTGCCCAGGCTGGTCTTGAACTTGGGACCTGAAGTGATCCTTCTGCCTAAGGAGATTCCACATTGGAAACAAGGCCCAAGGATGCCCAGGTTGCTGGTCTGGGAACCACATGTCAAAACTTTAAGGATCCCTGTCATATTACTTTACGCCTGATACTACATTCTTCGTGGGTTTTTTGTTTTTGTTTTGTTTTTTGAGATGCAGCTGTCACCCAGGCTGCAGGCTGGAGTGCAGTGGCGCAATCTCGGCTCACTGCAAGCTCCGCCTCCCGGGTTCACGCCATTCTCCTGCCTCAGCCCCCTGAGGAGCTGGGACTACAGGCGCCTGCCACCTCGCCCGGCTAATTTTTTGTATTTTTAGTAGAGATGGGGTTTCACCATATTGGCCAGGCTGGTCTTGAACTCCTGACCTCCGGTGATTCACCCGTCTTGGCCTCGCAAAGTGCTGGGATTACAGGTGTGAGCTGCCACTCCCAGCCTCTCCAGCCCATTTTAGGGGCGATCCTAGGAACTTCTGCTCTCACATCAGCTCTATGAGGTCAGAGAAGAGAACGTCTCGGTTCCTCTCGCAGAAGCCGCTGACGTCGTAGGAGACCTGGAGGGGACAGGACAGCGCTGAGAACAGTGAGGGACTGAGAGACCTGGCTGGGAGGGTGGGCGCAGAGTGCTTACAGCCCAGGTGGTCAGGGGTTTCCTGGGGCCTGCTGTGGGGTGAGGGGATCGAGGAGTGTCTACAGCGCTGGTTGGGGGGGTATCTACAGTTCAGAATAGGGGATGGGGGTGGGCTCCCTGGAGGGCTGATACTCAAGTTGAGGTTAGAGGATCGTAGCTGTATCCCAGGTCAGAGGTAAGGGGAGGTGGGGGTTACAACCTAGATGAGCCGGGAGAGAGCTGCAGTTTGCATCAGAGGCTGGGTGGCGGTGAAAGTTATAGCTCAGATTGGTGGGTGGGGGGTCCCTGGGAGTCAGAGGTTAGATTAGGTATCTGTGACCTGCTCAGTCAGGGGCCAGTGTGGGGGGCCTGTGTCAGGATGATAACAGCCCTACCTCAGGGATCCCTGCGAGGGGACTTCAGCCAGGATTGGGGGCTGGAGCTGCTACCAAAGGTTGGTTGGGGCTCTCTGTGGTTCCCAGCAGGGCTTTTGTAACCAGGCTGGCGTGCTGTGGCACAGTCTTGGTTCACTGCAACCTCAGCCTCCTGGGTTCAAGTGATTCCCCTGCCTCAGCCTCCCAAGTAGCTGGGATTACAGGCGCCCACCACCACGCCTAGCTGATTTTTGTATTTTTAGTAGAGACGGGGTTTCACCGGGTTAGCCAGGATGGTCTCGATCTGCTGACCTCGTGATCCGCCCGCCTCGGCCTCCCAAAGTGCTGGGATTACAGGCGTGAGCCACTGCGCCCGGCCTTTTTTTTTGTTTTGAGACAGAATCTCCCTCTGTTGTCCAGGCTGGAGTGCAATGACACGATCTTGGCTCACTATAACCTCTGCCTCCTGGGTTCAAGTGATTTTCATGCCTCTGCCTTCTGAGTAGCTGGAATTACAGGTGCGCGCCACCACACCTAGGTAATTTTTATAATTTTAGTGGAGACAAGTTTTCGCCATGTTGCCCAGGCTGGTCTCAAACTCTTGGCCTGACGTGATTTGACCACCTCGGCCTCCCAGAGGGCTGGGATTATAGGCGTGAGCCACCGCGCCCGGCCTCTGGAATTACTTTTTACATCAGAACTAGTCCATAGAAACAGCATCCTGGCCGCACAGCCACTCCCCTTGAGTTTGTGGCGAGATGGCAGCTCTTGGGAAGATGGGGTGGTGCCTGGTCCTCCCTCCATCCCCTTGGGGGGTTGTAGCCGGAGGTCCCCATGCCTGTGACCACTCACTGCTCACTGGTCTGCATCAGCTCTATGAGGTCAGAGAAGAGAACGTCTCGGTTCCTCTCGCAGAAGCCGCTGACGTCGTAGGAGACCTGGAGGGGACAGGACAGCGCTGAGAACAGTGAGGGACTGAGAGACCTGGCTGGGAGGGTGGGCGCAGAGTGCTTACAGCCCAGGTGGTCAGGGGTTTCCTGGGGCCTGCTGTGGGGTGAGGGGATCGAGGAGTGTCTACAGCGCTGGTTGGGGGGGTATCTACAGTTCAGAATAGGGGATGGGGGTGGGCTCCCTGGAGGGCTGATACTCAAGTTGAGGTTAGAGGATCGTAGCTGTATCCCAGGTCAGAGGTAAGGGGAGGTGGGGGTTACAACCTAGATGAGCCGGGAGAGAGCTGCAGTTTGCATCAGAGGCTGGGTGGCGGTGAAAGTTATAGCTCAGATTGGTGGGTGGGGGGTCCCTGGGAGTCAGAGGTTAGATTAGGTATCTGTGACCTGCTCAGTCAGGGGCCAGTGTGGGGGGCCTGTGTCAGGATGATAACAGCCCTACCTCAGGGATCCCTGCGAGGGGACTTCAGCCAGGATTGGGGGCTGGAGCTGCTACCAAAGGTTGGTTGGGGCTCTCTGTGGTTCCCAGCAGGGCTTTTGTAACCAGGCTGGCGTGCTGTGGCACAGTCTTGGTTCACTGCAACCTCAGCCTCCTGGGTTCAAGTGATTCCCCTGCCTCAGCCTCCCAAGTAGCTGGGATTACAGGCGCCCACCACCACGCCTAGCTGATTTTTGTATTTTTAGTAGAGATGGGGTTTCACCATATTGGCCAGGCTGGTCTTGAACTCCTGACCTCCGGTGATTCACCCGTCTTGGCCTCGCAAAGTGCTGGGATTACAGGTGTGAGCTGCCACTCCCAGCCTCTCCAGCCCATTTTAGGGGCGATCCTAGGAACTTCTGCTCTCATGTTGTGAGATCCTCAGATCACTGCCCGAGAGTCTACAGTCCTGTCCGCTGGGGAGCGGGGCTGCAGGCATGGCTGGAGGCCAGTGGATTTCTGTAGCCTGGGATAGGGGTCTGTAGGAGGGCATCAGCACATTTTGAAGGCTGGTGGCTCACAGAAGGGACCTGGGGGCTCTGGGGATTTCCTCTCCAAATTGGGATCAGAAAGTTGGGGGCTGTGTCCTAGTCAGGGGATTATGACTTACATTGGGGCTTATCTGGGAGCACAGGCAGTCTGGTACCCAAGCTGGTGTTAATCGGGGGGGATTTCTGTTCCCTCTGTTAGGGAGTTGATGTGTAAGGGAAGCTGTGGCCTGGATCAGAGGCCAGTGGGTTTCTGCAGCCCTGGCCCAGGGAACACGGTGGTAGTGGTGGTGGTGCTGGTGGGGTCCAGGCAAGTTTGGGGCTTAGAGAGTTCCTGGGGGTGTCAGCTGGAAGGGTCTGTAGTTCTGGTTAGTAGGGGGTGGATTGAGGCAGGGGGACGGTGGAATTCTACAGCTCCGGATGAGGGTCCTAGCAGGCTCTTTCCAGCCTGCGTGCTGGAGGGTGGGGGCTACAGCCTGGAGCCCTGGGGGTCTGCGAGGAGGCACAGGCTGGGGTAGGGGCCGGGGGCGCACCTTGCCAGCGTAGTGGTGGATGACGAAGCCGGCGCTCCAGCTGTTGAAATGCTCGTGGGTGCCCACGGCCGCCTGCAACTTCTGCAGCAGTGTCTGGTCTGCTCCCCCGCCCGTGGCGTGCATGGTGGCACACACGTCATCCAAGACGCTCATGATGCCTGGGGGGCTCTGCGGGGCGAGCGGGAGCCAGCAGCGGTTCAGTTTGGTCTGCCTTGCCTCCCCATGGCTCATCAGTGTGGAGATTAGGGGAGGGCGGGGGTGGAGGAGTAGAGGGAGCTAGAGCTTTGGAGGCGGGGAGGGCACCAGGGGCTTCCAAATACAAGCACAAAAGGCATTGCAGGGGTCGGGGATGGAAGGGATAGGGGGGCAGGGGTGTGTGGGGCTGCTGTGGAAGCTCGCTGGGGTGCAGAAGTGGCTGGGGGCCCCTCAAGAGATTCAGGTCTCAGACTAGAATCCCTTGGTAGGGGGACCTGCCTTATTTATTTGTTTGTTTGTTTATTTATTTACTTATTTATTTATTTAGAGACGGAGTCTTGTTCTGTTGCCCAGGCTGGAGTGCAGTGGTATGATCTCAGCTCACTGCAGCCTCCATCTCCCAGGTTCGTGATTCTCCTGCTTCAACCTCCGGAGTAGCTGGGATTACAGGCGTGCTGCCACCATGCCAGGCTAACTTTTGTATTTTTTAGTAGAGATGGCGTTTCACCATTTTGGCCAGGCTAGTTTCGATCTCCTGGCCTCAGGTGATCCACCTGCCTTGGCCTCCCAAAGTGCTGGGATTACAGGCATGAGCCACCGTGCCCAGCCTAAATACTTTTTAAATTTAGTTTTTTTGAGACAGGGTCTTGTTCTGTTCCTCAGACTGGAGTGTGGTGATGCAACCATAGCTCACTGCACCCTCGACTTCCTGGGCTCAAGTGATCCACCTCAGTCTCCCGGGTAGCTGGGATTACAGGCACCTGCCACCATGCCTGGATAATTTTTTGTATTTTTAGTAGAGACGGGTTTTCACCATGTTGGTCAGGGGTCTCCAACTCCCGACCTTAGGTGATCCGCCCGCCTCGGCCTCCCAAAGTGCTGGGATTACAGGTGTGAGCCACCGTGCCCGGCATGGAATCTGCAAATTTGACTCTGACTCTGAGCTGGGGTTTCCGGGGGAGTGTTTATTGAATGATTAAGCGACAGGTGGACAAGTAGGCGGAATGAATGGATGAGGGGCGGAAGGGACATTTTGGTTGTGTTCTGTCTGCTGGAAGGCCTGAGTGTAGCGTGGAGAAGGGCCTGAGGATGCCATAACGTCCTTGTCCCTCCCCCCGTCTTACAGACTCAGCTTAGGGGCCCAGTGAGACGCCCCCGCGAAAGTTGACCCAGCCCTCACCAGCTTGTTTTCGATGAGGTCACAGACGACCTTGTTGTTGAAGTACTGGATTGGAGTCCAGCGGATGCCTTCCTGTACGTACTCCTCCTGGGGGTGGAAAAGGGGGTGGGGGAGGGGCAGTGAGAAATGTGTGGCCACCCTTCCCCCATGTCCTCTCCTCTTCTCCATCTTATCACTCAGGACTGTCTCTGGTAACAAAGCCCATCACTCCTGTGTGAGCAAGGCTGGAAGTGCCAGGGAATTGTACTTGGTTCTGGGAGTCCTTGACCAATAATCAATAGGAGCGGGTGGATAAATACCCCAGCTCCCTCGCTTCTCTGTGTGCTCCATGAAGCCTCCTCGAGTCCCAGTGCAGTTGCACACTGGTTGTCCACAGCATAACTTGCTCATTAATGCCCTATTTGGACTCTTTTTTTTTTTTTGAGATGGAGTTTCGCTCTTGTTGCCCAGGCTGGAGTGCAATGGCACGATCTTGCCTCATCGCAACCTCTGCCTCTGCCTGAAGGGATTCTCCTGCCTCAGCCTTCTGAGAAGCTGGGATTACCGGCTTGTGCCACCACGCCTGGCTAATTTTGTATTTTTAGTAGAGATGGGGTTTTTCCATGTTGGTCAGGCTGGTCTCCCACCTTGGCCTCCCAAAGTGCCAGGATTACAGGCATACAGGCATGAGCCACTGCATGCAGCTTGCTTTTTTTTTTTTTTTTTGAGACTGGGTTTTGCTGTTACCCAGGCTAGAGCTCAGTGATGCGATCCTAGCTCACTGCAACTTTGACCTCCAGGGCTCAAGTGATCCTCTCATCTTAGCCTTCTGAGTAGCTGGGATCTCGGGAGCACACCACCACACCTGGCTAATTTTTATGTTTTTTGTAGAGATGGGGTCTCACTATGTTGTCCAGGCTGGCTTTGAACCCCCAGGCTCAAGCGATCCTCTTACCTCAGCCTCCTAGATAGCTGGGACTATAGGTGTGAGTGATTGTGTCTGGCTCGGTCTGTCTCTCTTTCTTTTCTTTTCTTTTCTTTTTTTTATATTTATTTATTTATTTATTTATTTATTTAGAGACAGGGTCTCATTCTGTTGCCTAGGCTGGAGTGCAGTAGCGTAGTCTCAGCTCACTGCAACCTCTGCCTCCTGGGTTCAAGTGATTCTCCTGCCTCAGCCTCCTGAGTAGCTGGGATTACAGGTCCCCGCCACCACACCCGGCTAAGTCTTATATTTTTAGCAGAGACGGGGTTTCGCCATGTTGGCCAGGCTGGTCTCAAACTCCTGACCTCAGGTGATCCACCCGCCCCAGCCTCCCAAAGTGCTGGGATTACAGGCGTGAGCCACTGCGCCCGGCCTCTCTCTCTCTTTTAAAAAAATCCCTGTCTCAGAGCTGGGCATGTTAACTCATGCCTATAGTCCCAGCACTTTAGCAGGCCAAGGCAGGAGGATTGCTTGAGGCCAGGAGATCAAGACCAATCTGGGCAACAAAGTGAAACATTGACTCTACAAAGAAGTTTTAAAATATTAGCCAGGCATGATGGTGTGTGCCTGTGGTCCCAGCTACTTGAGAGGCTGAAATGGGAGGATTGTTTGAGCCCAGGAGGTGTAGACTGCAGTGACCTGTGATCACACCACTGCACTCCAGCCTGGACAACAGAGTGAGATCCTGTCTCAAAAAAAAAAAAAAGGCTGGGCATGGTGGCTGATACCTGTAATCCCAGCACTTTGGGAGGCTGAGGTGGGTGGATCATGAGGTCAGGAGTTTGAGACCAGCCTGGCCAATATGGTGAAACCCTGTCTCTACTAAAAATACAAAAATTAGCTGGGCATGGTGGCGGGTGCCTATAGTCCCAGCTTGGGAGGCTGAGGCAGGAGAATCACTTGCACCCTGGAGGCAGAGGTTGCAGTGAGCTGAGATCATGCCACTGCACTCCAGCCTGGGCGACAGAACAAGACTCTGTCTCAAAAAAAAAAAAAAAAAAAAAAAATCCCTGACTCTCTTCCTCTGTCTCCTCTTGGAGCTTCCTGGGATTGCCTCCCAGAAAAACCATTTGTCCCTGAATCCTTGCCTCAGGCTCTGCTTCTGGGGGAGGGGCTAAATGCAGACAGCAGGGACTATTGCCTTATTGTTCATGGCTGTGTCTCCAAGCACCCTAAACAGTACCTGGCACACAACAGGTGCTCAATAAATAATTGCTGAATGAATGAACTAAGAGGCACGGTCCTTCCCAAAGCTTTAGAGGCAGAAGGAAGTGTCACTATGGAGCCTGGGCAGGTTGGCACAGAGAGGTGAGAATGTGGTAGGGAGGGCTGAGGTGTCCCCTAGTTGCTAAGGGATCCTCATGGTCCTTCCACCCCACCCCCACCCCAGGATCCTCCATCCCTGGCCGCTTGGCTGCCCACCTGCTCGGCCTTCAGGGTGAGTTCGATAAAGATTTGCTGCAGCTTCTCGTTGACGAAGTTGATGCAAAACTGCTCGAAGCCATTTTTCTGCAGAAGGAGGAAAAGGGTCCTTCCCTCAATGTCCTGGTGCTAGAAGTTCTTGTGGCCACCCTGGGCTGCCCCAGGGAGGACAAGATGTGGGCTGGAGGCTGGGGGCCGTACCTGGAAGATCTCGAAGCCGTAAATGTCCAGCACACCGATGCTGTACTCTTCCTGGGGTTTTTGCATAGCACGGTTGATGGCCTGCGGTGTGGGTGGAGACAGGAGGTCAGTGGGCATCTGTCAGATCTGAAGCCCCCGCCCACCACTCCTTAGACACACGCCTAGCCAACTTCATGGGTGATGTCCCCTCATGCCAGTTTCCCTCCAGCCCTCTTTAGCTCTGCCCTTCCTGGCTCTGTGTATAGTCTCCCCACTCCCCAGTCAGTCACTCAGAGGAGAAACCCAAGTGTCAGTGCATCAGGGTCCGTGGCTCCGGAGCTGACTCTGCCCCTGAACCTCTCTGCACCTCTATTTTCTTATCTTTAAAACGGGTTGATAATAGCAACTACTTTATGAGGCTTTTTCTTTTTTTTTTTTGAGGTGGAGTCTCACTCTGTTGCCCAGGCTGGAAAGCCAGTGGCACAATCTCGGCTCACTGCAACCTCTGCCTCCAGGATTCAAGAGATTCTTCTGCCTCAGCCTCCCAAGTAGCTGGGATTACAGGCATGCGTCACCACACCTGGCTAATTCTCATATTTTTAGTAGAGATGGGGTTTTTCCATGTTGGCCAGCCCGCTCGCACCTCTCAAACTCTTGGACCTCGGGTGATCTCCACCTTGACCTCCCAAAGTGCCTGGGATTACAGGACGAACCACTGTGCCTGGCGCATACATTAAACTTCTACTTTTATTTTATTTTTCCATGTTTGAGATAATGTTCTCTCAGTCTGTTGCCAGACTGGGAGTGCATGGCTTGATGCATGGCGTCACTACGAAGCTCAATCTTCCTGTGGTGCATGGATTCTTCCACCTCAGCCTCCTGAAGTAGCCCGGCATTACAGGCACCCAGAGTCACCGTTGCCCGGTAATTTTTGTATTCTTTGTAGAGAAGGGTTTTCGCCCTGTGCCAGGCTGACTCCAAACATTAAAAAAAGTTTTTTTATTTTATTTTATTTATTTATTTATTTTGAGACAGAGTCTCGCTCCGTTGCCCAGGCTGGAGTGCAATGGCATGATCTCAGCTCACTGCAACTTCCATCTCCCGGGTTCAAGTGATTCTCCTGCCTCAGCCTCCCAAGTAGCTGGAATTAAAGGCATGTAAGGCATGTGCCACGACTCCTGGGTAATTTTTAGTAGAGACGGGGTTTCACCATGTTGGCCAGGCTGGTCTTGAACTCCAGACCTCAAGTGATCCACCTGCCTCAGCCTCCCAAAGTGCTGGGATTACAGGCATGAGCCACTACATCTGGCCAAGGTGTTTTTTTTAAGAGACAGAGTCTTGCTCTGTCACCTAGCCTGGAGTGCAACAGTGCAATCATAGCTCACTGCAGCCCTGACCTTCTGGGTTCAAACGATCCCCCAACTTCAGCCTCCTGAGTAGATAGAACCACAAGTGCACACCACCACACCCAACTAATTGGAAATTTCTGTAGAGATGGGGTCTTGCTATGTTGCCCAGGCTAGTCTTTTTTTCTCTCTCTCTTTTTTTTTTTTAGACAGAGTTTTGCTCTTGTTGCCTAGGCTGGAGTGCAATGGCACGGTCTCGGCTCACGGCAACCTCTACCTCCTGGGTTCAAGCAATTCTCCTGCCTCAGCCTCCGGAGTAGCTGGGATTACAGGCATGTGCCACCACGCCTGGCTAATTTTGTATTTTTAGTAGAGACGGGGTTTCTCCATGTTGGTCAGGCTGGTCTCGAACTCCCGACCTCAGGAGATCCGCCCACCTCAGCCTCCCAAAGTGCTGGGATTACAGGCGTGAGGCACCGCGCCCAGCCACCCAGGCTAGTCTCGAACTTCCGGCCTCAAACGATGCTCCCACCTCGGCCACCCAAAACATTGGGATCGCAGGCGTGAGCCACTGCACTGGGCCTCCATAAATGTTTGTGACCCCAGAGCGCCCACTCTGCCCTCCAGCCCCAACCCCACTCGCCTCCACGAGGAAGTCGAAGAGGCGGGCATAGAGCCCCTTGGCCAGGGCGTCGCGGGTGTAGGCTGCCTGCTCCACATTGAGGGTCACATCGATGGACTCGCTGCGCCCGCCCCAGCGGCTGTCCATCTTGCGGCTGGTCAGCTTCTCCTGCAGTCGCCCACTGTCAATGCCCAGCAGGTAGGCGGGAAAGGCCAGGACTACCGGGGCAAAGGTCAGGGCAAAAACGGGACAGTTGGTTGGGCTCTTGTGCCTCCTGCATGGGCCTCCTATTATCCCCATCTTGCCAGTGACACCGACGACGTCCTCATGGGTTCTCAGCTTCCTGGGGGCGGAGCTGGGAGGACGCAGTTCACACACCCAGAGGCCTCCATCCTGCCCTCCCTGACACCCACACTCACGGTCCACACTCTCCACTCGGGCGTAATTCCCGTCTTCACAGAAACTGATGTTCCCTAGGTGCAAGATCCCCGCCACCAGCTGCAGGACCAGCTGCTGGATGCCGGGCGGGATCCCAATGACCTGCATGGCGTTCTGTGGGTGCAACGGGAGCAGAAACTGTGCCGCGAATCCCGGCCTCCAACCTGCCTCCAGGGGCAGGCTTGAGGGGCCACAGCACGGACTCACGGAGTAAGCACCCTTGGGTCCCCGTCCTGCCCCTTTCAATCACTTGCTGCGTGACCTTGGGCAAGTGCCTGCACCTCTCTGGTCTTTGTTTTTTATTATATTTTTTATTTTTTATTTATTTATTTATTTATTTTTTTGAGACGGAGTCTCGCTCTGTTGCCCAGGCTGGAATGCAGTGGCCGGATCTCAGCTCACTGCAAGCTCCGCCTCCCGGGTTTACGCCATTCTGCTGCCTCAGCCTCCCGAGTAGCTGGGATTATGAGGCATTACAGCGCTGCCCGGCAACCTCGCCCGGCTAGTTTTTTGTATTTTTTAGTAGAGACGGTGGTTTCACCCGGCGTTAGCCAGGATGGTCTCATCTTGCTTGACCATCGTGATCCGGCCCCGCTCGGCCTCCCCAAAGTGGCTGGGGATTACAGGCTTGAGCCAACCGCGCCGCGGCCCTATATCTTTTTATTTTGAGACAGAGTCTCTGCTGTTGCCCAGGCTGGCAGTGCAGTGGCGTGATCTCTGGCTCCACTACAACCTTCCTCATCCCGCCGGATTTCAAGCAATTTTCCTGCCTCACTCCCTGAATACCTGGGATTTAACAGGTTGTGAGCACCATGTCTGGCCTACGGTCTTTGGTTTCCTATTTTGATTTTTTTACTTAAAGAGTCTCACCTTTCACCCAGGTGGGGAGTGCAGTTGGCGCTATCTTGGCTCACTTGCAACGCCTCCACCTCCTGGGTTTAAGCGATTCTCCTGCCTCAGCCCGCCTGAGTAGCTTGGTACCAGGGCACCATGCCATCACGCCTGGCTAATTTTTTTTATTCTTAGTAGAGGCGGGTCACTATGTTGCCAGGCTGGTCTCGGAACTCCCTGACCTAGTAACTCACCTGCCTCGGTCTCCCAAAGTGCTGGATTACAGGCATGAGCCACCGCGGCCTGGTCTTTCGTGTGGTTTTTGAGATGGAGTTCACTCTGGTTGCTCAGGCTGGAGTCAGTGGGTGTGTGATGTCGGCTCAGCTGCAACCTCTGTGCCTGGTTTCAAGCAATGCTCCTGCCCTCTGACCCCAGTGAGCTGGAGTTTACATCACGCACCATCATGCCCGGCTAATTTTTGTATTTAGTAGAGATCGGTGTGAACCACGTGCCATGCGGCCAAACTCCGACTGGTGTTGGTGTTGTGAACGGTAGCTGGCGCGTCCCCGGGCTGGAGTACAGTGGCGGATCTCAAGCTCATCTCTGCAAGCTCCGCCCCCGGGTTGCACTTATTCCCTGTCCTTCAGCTCGTCCCGTAGTGATCGTGGGATGATTCTATGTCTATCCCCCACCCCCCCGTATGTAAGTAGAGACGTTTCACTGTTAGCCAAGATGTCTCGATGCTTCCTGACCTCATATCCGGCCCGTCTCGGGCATCCCAAAGTGCTGGGATTACATGGCTGGAGCCACCGCGCCCCCTCCAAACTCCTGACTTTTAAATCATGCTGCCTGCTCGGTCCTCCCAAAGTGCTGGGATTACAGACGTGAGCCACTGTCCTGGCTGGCTTTTTTTTTCCTAATTTGTAATCAGGAGTTCTGGGCTGGAGGTCTGCCTGTGGCTGGGGACTGGAGTGGAGCCGGTGCTCACCAGAGTCTCACCAAAGTTCGCTTCTGTGTCGGGTGCCGTCCACCTGGTTAGGTGTCCGATTGGTTGAGGTAGTAACTAGTAGTCTGGTGTCATTGAGGCCCAGGTTCTGCCGTGCTCCTGGCAGGCCCCTTCCAGCAGCTGGAGGGTGTGCAATGTCATTGCATCTGGTGCCTTGCCTGGCTCAGCCCCTGTGATGTGTCCCCCATTCTGCCCTGCCATTGCCCTCCCAGCGATGTACTTCCCATTTGTCACCCTGCTGGGCTTCCACGGTTGGGGCTCAGTCTTCCCCTCAGCCTCTTCCCTGACCCTGGGTAGTTGTAGATTGTAAGTTCCTCTCATTTTCATTCTGCCATGGACCACGCGGGACTTCTCCAGCCAAGAAGTGGACGACTCTTGCCCCCATCCGGCTCCCCACCTGTCGGCTGAACTGGATCTCCAAAGTTACTTGCGCGCTGAATTCGAGAGAACCATGTCAGGCACCCCAGGCATCCTGGGGTGCTTAGGTCGGGGAAAGGATTAGCGGATGGGTCTTATGAGCCTTGCCTCTCTTCCCTTCTTCCTTTTTTTTTTTTTGGGACAGAGTTCTCACTCTGTTTGCCCAGGCGGGGTGCAGTGGCGCGTATCTCGGCTCACTGCACAACATTCCACTTCCTGGGTTCAAGTGATTCTCCTGCCTCAGCCTCCTGAGCTAGCTGGGACTACAGGTGGCCCGTCCACCACGCCCAGCTAAATTTTTTGTAGTTTGGTAGAAGGGGTTTCATCATGTTGGCCAGGCTGGTCTTGAACTCCAGACCTCAAGTGGATCCACCTGTCCCAGCCTCCAAAGTGCGGGGATTTCATGCGTGGAGCCCCCCGTTAACCCAGTCCAGGGGTATGGGTATTAGTAACCATGTGCATGTGCAGGTGTAATACTAAATGTCTATGAGATGGATATTAACATCATCCCCATTTAATGGATGAGCAAACAAAGGAAACTCAGAAGGTTTACATGCGTTTTTTTCCCCAGGCTACACAGCTCACAATGACAGAATCAGGACCCTGAATTCAGATCTCTTTACCTATCCTGGTCTTCCACTGGCCCAGACACACCCACACAAAGAACGAGTCCCAGAACTATGGTCGAAAGAAAAGAATTAAGAATGAGGGACTAAATTGGCCTGAAATGTGAAATGGGAACAAGTAGGGGCATGGCTGCAGCCAGGGGAGCATTTAAGAATGTTTACACAGGGGTGTCATGGCCTCCACAGTTCTGCCAGTGGACTCCCTTTTGAAAATGGGACCATGAGCAGGAAGTGAGTCTCCCCATTCATTGTGAGCAGGGTATTTCCTGCTGGGTTTCCAATGGGGCTCTTATCCTGGCAATGCAGATGTGTTGTATGTGTGGTTGTGTGTGTAGAAAGGGCAGCACAGATGGAGCAGCTTTCTCAAGCAGAGCTGCACAGAGAATCCACAAAGCGGCTGGAATTATTGTTGCGCACAGTCTTGGCTTAGCCGAAAGCCGTCGAGGCAGCGGGTTGGACTGCAGGATGATATCTTTGACATGGCTGGGGGCAGAGGCAGGTCGGGTGGAAGAGGTCAGACTGGGTGCAAAGTTGTTCACGTGAAGATGTTAAGTGGGGTCTACCACTACCAATAGCAACAGTAATTCTAAAGAAGGGCGACCCAGTCATCCTGTCTGTTTTTCTCGTCTCACCTGGGACCTTGTTTAAGAAAAAAAAATGCAACTACCACGACCAGGACACCTGATAGATGTAGCCTCTCAC